CAAGAAATGTCTACAGCTCTAGTGCTCTCCACTGTGCAGGAGACGTGGAGAGACAGGGAAGCATAAAACACAAGTGCATTTGATAGGGCTTGTTGTTACTGATTCAACAAGTGTGTGATGATCTACAGTCAAAGGTCCCTCGCCTGTGTTTGGCATCTCTCTCGCTTTGCTTACAGACTGAAATTTAATTACTTATCATGTTTTAGATCATTCTGTCACACTTAAACCCCTAGTTACCTCCACCATGGAGGGGGAATGTTTTCAGCCCTGTCTGTTTGTTGATTTTTAATAAGATTATGACAAAACAACTGAACAGATTTCCATGAAATTTGGTATATGTGGTATGGGTCAGGGAAGAGCCCATTAAATTTTGGTGCAGGCATTTTACAACATTTTCAGTGTTCCCAGGGTATAATGCACAGATCTCGGTGCAGCTTAATTGAATGTATGGGAGCTGTTGGGCATTGGCAGGTGTAGGCGACTCTACTGAGGGCTATTCTAGTTATATCTGAAATTAGTTAGTGGACATTATGTTTGGCAAAGACGATTTAATATTTTAAAGCATGAAAAGGAAAAGAGTTTCGATAAATTGTTATAAATGAAACATCACTCTGATTGAATAATTTAGATTAATATTGTGGCAACTGATCTTCCATATAGTGAATGCTGGTTATGTGTACCTGATATGACCAAGCTGAGCAGGTAGAAACGAATTGCGCTGGCTCTCATATGAGCATCCATGAGCAGCGTCAGGATGCTCACCCCATTGAATAAGACCTGTGGAGCATAGAGGAACAGCATTCAGTGATTCACAGTGTGAAAATGGTTTGCTGTCAGTATATTATTAACACAATACTGAATTGTTGCTGCTATACTTATAATCATCACATGTACCACTGCAATTCAGAGGGTAAAAAATTGGATTGTGTATCAAGAGTGTCTAGTAAATTTTATGTCCATACTCCAAACAGGAAGATGGTGGTGTAGAGGACAGTCATTGGGACAGCGATTGCCAGAGGCTCCCTTTTAGTGGCACCGATGTTGAGCTGTGGCATCTCACTCGGGCTGACGTTACAGCTGAAGAGGATCGACATCTGATCGGAGAGATTCATGTTCAGGCAGCTGGTGGAGAAAGTGGAAGATGAAAATGTAACAGAGAAACATTTTAAATTTAAATGTCATGCCAGAGTTAGGTTGTAACATTGGGTATTAGTAAGCTTAATTCAGGTCTGAAGCCATTGTTTAAGCAAAGTCCACTTTTTTGAGAACAAATTGACAAAACAACAGTTTAACATATAATAATGAGGGCAGAGGAAATAACAATGAAAATAGACTAATTAGTGAGCACAGCATATACAGCACACTCTATTCATATATAAAACATCCAAGGTTAATTTAACAGGAGTACGACAGGATTCCTTACGTTCAATTAACATACACACACACACACACACACACAAACAAACAAACACACACACACTACAACCTGTTACACAGAGTCTGTTTATTACAAAATCAAGCAGATTCTAGTTTTACATTTACTAATGCTTATTTTAAATGTAAGGGTGCTGATCAGTTATGAGTAGGCTTACCTTCAACAGATGAAATGCAGGATAAAGCTGAGATCCTCTGTCCACAAGGACCAAAAACCTCTTTGATTTGTCTCCCTCCCTCCCTCGCTTGCGCACACAGCCTCTCTTTCACACTGTGTGACTCTCTCCCCCTCCTTCCCCCCCCCCCCCCCCCCCCCCCCCCCCCCCCCCCGGCACATGGACATAACAGCAGCTTATACAAAATCATAAATAGGTTCAATATAAATGTTTTTGTCAGCCAAACATTAAAATGCACAAACATAGATCAGGGAGCACCCCTGGCTCGGTTAGAAAAGTTATTCCAGCATAGAACCTTTTAACTGTAACTATTTGATTACTATAGGATTAGTTATTTGCTACCCTTCTGTAGGTTACGCTGCACTGCAAATGACACAAAACTGGAATTGTAAATCAGAAATCAGGTAAAAAAAATGGCTCAAATCACACAGTGAATCCCCACGTTAAAAGGAAACTGTATTTGGTGGCACATAAATGATCTATCTTTTCGACTTCACTAGCAGCTGATATATTTATGTGTTGAAGAGGACAGCATGTCTCATTGTGGCCCAACAAATCGATAGCCTTCATGTGTTTTTGCAGCTTGTAGTTACCTCAGTTCTGTCATTTGTCAATAGTGCTCTGATTAAGTGCGATCCATTTCACAAAACTCCTGATGTGATATTACAAAGAACAGGAACCTGGAGGAACTGTGTGTGCAGTTGTTCTTCCACACATATAGGATTCAAACCTATTCAACATTAAACTACTGTATGCATGAAAAGTAATTAGCATTCAAGATTGGCAATCAAATTGAGAGAAGCAAAATTGCAACATTCTGGAAAAAAGCACTTAAATCTAATTATCCTGGCTGGAATGTTTTTTTTTCAATCTAACCCCATCATGACAGAAAATGTAGTTGGTTTAGACACTTTCTTTACTGCAGCTCTCACCCAGTGTCAGCTGTGATTGGGGAATGGTACAATGGGAACTGAATTTTGAATTTCCCTACAGGGATTAATAAAGTACTTCTGATTCTGAATCTCTATGAGGTCCATTGGTATCCATTGGCCTCTTACAAAAAACCTTTTCATCTATACCATCATGACCGATGCCATAACTCCTCAGGGCTACGTGACTTCAGCTAAGACAGTCAGAAGTATTAAACATGAAAATCTCTGCATACTGTGGCCACTTTAAAGACAAAAAATTCTGAGGCTTGGAGCCATATTATTACAAGAATAAAATTGAATATTAGTCCAATTTCAAGACAGAGACAATATGTTACATACTGTCATGATTTAATGAAAAAAGTCATAATACAATGAGAGGAAAGTTGTAATTTAGTAAAAAACACAAGAAAATGTATAAGAAATAAGCAGCAAGAGAATTTGCCTGCTCACACGAGTTCCACTTCTTCTTTATCCAGTCTCCTTCTTGAGAAACTGTGAAACCCATCTGAATAGCGGGGTGATGTAACCACTAATAGCGATGCAGTCGATCACTAAAGTTCTCCGCAAAAGATGAGATATTTCATTGTTTGTGAAACTTATATGAAAGTTTATATAAGGCAGTTTTTAAAAGTTGCAATATAGTCGTTATTTGTCCATTCTTTGGAATATGGTGTACAAAATGTGAAATGAAAAATTGATTTTTGTGTTTGACTCTGGGTACTGAGCCATTGCAGTCATGTGGCTGATGGCACTAAGGAGCCACTCAAGCACTTGGCTGGGTGAGTCTGTGGCTTAATGTGCTCCAGAGTCGCCTCTGTTCAGCAGAGAGAGGACAAGATGGGTTGTCAATGATGGCTTTTGGTTTTACTCTCATCCTTTTGTCAGTCACTTCAGTTCTATTCCCACCACAGAGCTGGCCTTAAGTTTGTCTGTGCCACCTCCGAAGCTCACCAGCACTTAACGCATTACTGACTCCTTGGTTTTACTGCGGTGGAGCTGCAGGTGATTTCTGCCACACCATCCTACAAGACTCCCATGTTCCTGTGTTGTAGCAGAAGTCAAGGTGTAGCGGGCGAAAAGAAATGGTGACAGGACAGTTCCCTGGGGTTTGTCCATGTTGCTCACTACCACATTGATCGAATGATTGATTAAAACCAGTCCTGCATCCCGCAGCCTGTAAGTGAGGTAGTCTGTGACTCATGTCACTTGGAGTACAGGGATGCCCCTTCTTGAGCACTGGAACTTGAAACACACCTGTCAGCTGCTCCATGCACACCTTCAGCACCTTCGGGTAGATGCTGTCAGGTCCTCTAGCCTTGTTTGAGGGAAGGTGTGAGGAGGGGGGTTGACAGAGGGATGGAAGAGCAGAAGTGGCACAGGGTGGGGGACCACAGGAGAGGGGGGAACTGAGTGGTTGATGATGATGGGCCTCTGGGTTGTTTGAAGTGGTGGACTTGTTCTCCCGAGGCTGTGGAGTCCAGACGTTTGCTAGGGGGAGCTGGGGAGTTGCTGTCACAGGGAGGGGGGTAACTAAAAATTACAAGTTA